GGTTAGCACAGCAAGTTCACCTCAGAAGAAGGTATCTTGGATGACTCCTATTTTTTTTTTTAATTAAACAAATGAAAAATCCATTTAGGAAGAACAAAATGAAGAGATCTTTTAATTGAATTTAGGGCTACCGTCACTGTCTGGAAATGCCCAGGGATTACAGTGATTTACAGCTGGGATGGAGATGAACCCGGGCTTTGGCTTCATTGATGAGCCTGCCGGGAAACCTAAACGCCACTGGAAACACCGTAGGGCGATCCATTTATAGTCAAACGGGGAGAACGGGGCCGGGCCAGGTCAGGCTGCCTGGGCTCAGGTCCCAGGACAGGGGCCTTCAAATTCTTCTCTAGGCCCCTAAGGTTTAGAAGCCCCTCTTACCTAGAAGTTCTCCTTCATTCCTACCCACCCAAACCATCCTGGAACTTGTAAACTCAGCCTAAACGCCCTCTTTCAAGAAGACTTCCTGGATTGGATCCTTCCTCAGACCCTCAGCGTTTCTTGCTTCCCTTAATGCCTACACTCAAGGTGGGAGCAGGGGTTTGACGGGAAAGACACTTTTCAGTGCTTCTCTCTCACTGCTGTCACGGTCATTTAGTAGCAGCCGACTCAGAGCTGACCCTCCAGTGGGTTTTTAGAGGCTGTCAATCACATGCGAGGAGACACTGCTGGGTTTGAACTGACAGAGAATGCCACCTTTGAGTTAGGAGCGTAACTTACTCCAGACTGCACCACCAGAGCTGCCTTCTGACGTTTAGAAAACCCAGTTCATCACAACAAGATAAAGGTAAATAATCCAACAGAAAAACGAGCACAGGATATGAACAGACATGTCACCAAAGAAGACATTCAGATGGCCAACAAGCACATGAAGAAATGTTCAAAAGTCCTAGCTCTAAGAGAGATGCGAATCAAAACAACTATGAGATATCATCTTACTTCAGTAAGAATAGCAAAATTTAACAGAACATCAAATAACAAATGCTGGCAAGGTTGTAGAGAAACTGGAACCCTCATTCACTGCTGGTGGGAATGTAAAATGGTGCAACCACTGTGGAAAGTGGTGTGGCGCTTTCTCAAAAAGTTGCAAATATTTGACCCAGCAATTCCACTACTGTGAATATTCCCTAAAGAGACCATAACCACCATCCAAGCAGATATATGTACACCCATGTTTATCACGGCTTTGTTCACAATAGCAAGGAGTTGGAAACAACCTAAGTGCCCATCAACAAACGAATGGATAGAGAAGCTCTGGTATAGTCACACAGTGGGATACTACGCTGCATTGAAAAACAAGGAACTCATGCAATATTATTCAAAATGGGTGACCCTGGAGGACATTATGCTGAGTGAAGTATCTCAGTCACAAAAAGACAAATACTTCATAGTGCCTGTTGTAGAATGGGACTGACATCAGGGTTGGGGTAAGACTGAGAAAAACTGAATAAATTATGTATACTGCATTAAAACAGATAAGGGAGAGAACAGTTTAAAAGCGATATATGATAGGGTATTATGGTTATCACAAGAGTCCAGAATTAAGGTTGCATAGTGGAGTACACTTGGGGTGGGGGATGGGGGGATTGTATACCAATGAAGGAGTTTTTCTTTTGCTTTTTGAAGAGAAGAGTGAACTGGGGGGAAGGGCTGGGCAGGGAAAAAAGTGCAACAATGAATGAATGGAAATCCAAAATCTCTGTAAATGTTCATTAAAATTCATAAATTTTAAAAAAAAGAAAGAAAAACAACCCTAGTTCAAATCTCAGTTCCGCCACAGATCTACAGAGGCAAGCAGAATTGTCCATTTTTGTCCCTGCAACACAGGGATAAAAATCCTTCCCTCCAGGGTCAGCTGCTGGGGCTGAAATGAGCTAAGTGGTGGATACCACCTGTGGGACAGCGGGGACCCTGGGAGCTCAGTCTTCGGTGACACACTGTCTTCTCTTGTGCCTTGGAGCAGCTTTTCTGGTGTTATCTGTAGAGAGTCACACTGTTAACCCAAAGGCCGAGCCTCTGACATTTCAAATCCACCACTGACTCCAGGAAAGGGAGATGGGCAATCTCCTTCCGCGTGATTTACAGCCTTGGAAACACACCGGAGGGTTAGCTAAGCTGCTTCTGACTCAAAGACAATAAACATCTGTGTCTTGAGTGTTTGCTTTGTCCCCTAATTTCTCAGTGAGCCTGGGGCTGACTGTAGCAGGACTGGGTTTACCTCCATGCCGTTCCCAACCACACTTTCCTTCACACATCCTACAGTTATGGGTTCTACCACTCTCCTCTAACCATTGGGTCAATATCACTGAGCCCTCCACAAGCCAGGTACAAAATTACACCCAGGAGATGAACAGAGCTGAATAACCTTAAACCTCTCACCATCTTATGAGGAAACAGACACTTGGATGGACCAAGGAAGAAGAACACAGTGCTATCTGGGGAGGCTTCAAGGAGGAGATAGATTCTGAGCTGGGCCTTTAAAACTAGAGTGGGATTTTGATCTTCGGGAATCATGGGGAAAGCACCTGGGGCTTTGGAAAAAGCAAGAATATTTCCCTCACTGTTTTCAAACCACTCTGGGTTGAGTCCTGGGTCAAGTCATAGTACTCACACCATTTTACAGATGAGAAGACTAAGGCTGAGATAAAAGTGGCCATGCTGGAGCTCAGACTCAAGTTGTGGGACACCACGAGCCTTGAAATGTCAGGGTCCAAGGAGATCTGAGCAGAGGGAAGGAAGGTGCTCACTTAACACACCATTTTACAGATGAGAAGACTAAGGAAGGCTGAGAGAAAAGTGGCCATGCTGGAGCTCAGACTCAAATAGTGGGACTCCAAGAGGCTTGAAATGCCAGTGAGCAGGAGGGACGATGCTCACTTAAATTGAGGTTAAATGTTGCCCTCTTCAGAATAAGGAGCTCCGGTGGTGTCATGCATTATGTGTTATTCTGCTAACTGAAAGGTTAGCAGTTTGAATCTCCTGGCTTCTCTCTGAGGGAGAAAAGCTTGGCAGTCTCTTCCTGCAAATATTTCCCAGAGGGAAAAAAAAGAGATTTGTAACTTTCACAAAAAGATGGAGGGTCACTGTGAATGGCAGTCGACTCAATGACAATTGATGGGTTTGACTGCTTTTTTTTTTTATTTGGGGAGTTTTATTGCTATTTGTATTACTATTTCTTCAGACTCTGTGGGAGTGCCTAATAGCCACTGGGTATCAGCTGCTTCACAATCTTCCTCCTGAACTTCAAGAAGGGTTGAACTTCAAGAAGGGTTATTATTATCTTACAGGTGAAACTGGAGTGCCTCAGAGATTACGGGGTGAAGCCAGGATCCGATCTGGTCTGCTGGGCTCAGTTACCTGCATGTGTAACCTTACACCTCTGGCAGGTAGAGGTCCTATAGGTGCACGCATTTCACCAAGGGATTGAAAAGCAGACAGAACTCCTCACCCGGGGCTCCTTTTCCTGGGAGCTGGGACCCAGCAACCGGCTGGTTCGGGTTCTTAACTCATCAGTAGGAAATGTAGATTTTGATTGAGTTGGCAGACAGAAGGTTCTCAAACTATGCGTTAAGAAACCAGCACTGGGATGCCTGGAATTCAACAAACATAAAGACTTCTAACAATTACTCATTTCACTGTCTTTTCACTGAGATAAAGGTGCTTTGGAAAGAACAACATCACTATATCTGGGCTCTTAAGTCAGAAGAAAGAAAAAGGGTTCCAGCCACCTCTACACCAGGCATGGAAGACGGGATAAAAGTATTAACTGAGCATCTGCTTGGTACCTAGGACTGTGCTGGACACTTTACTCACACCCTCATTAATTACGCTTAATCTTCCCATCACCCTATTTTACAGCTTGCTCAAGCAGGCTCTGCATGGAGGCGTACCATTTAGCCATGAGTGCGTTGATACTTAGCACTCATGTGTGCTCATACACACACACATATATGCACACACACTTGTTCACATACACAGGTGCAGAAGGGTGGATCCTGGACTGGAAGTCAGGGAACCTGGGTTCTCATCCCAACTCAGCCACCAACTAAGTCATTGTGTGGCCCTGGGGAGTCTGAGCCTCTCTGAGGCCCCTCCCAGCCCTGGCATGTTAGGGTCCCATGCCTACATCTCTCTCTGCCTCCTGCTCTCATCACCATGTCGACAACTTGGGTTTCTCAGGTAAGGCTGTCTTTCAGTGCTCCTCACTGCCCCCTACAGGATGACCCTCTCACTAGAAGGGTCAGCACCCCACCTAGTATGGTCTGGGGCCCCCTCCCATCATTCTCTTACCTGACATCCCTATGAAAAGCACAAGAGTGGGAGTGGAGCCCAGCTTCATGGGAAGCTGCAGACTCGAGGGTTTGAGTTGGTTTCGGTGCTGGAGAGATTCAAGGTCAAGTGATGACTCCAACCCTTACCGGCTGTGTCTCCCTGAGCTCTAGTCTCCTCAGGATGGGCTGAATAATGGAACTGCTATGAGAATGAGAGGGAGCTCTGGTGGCTCAGTGGCAAGGGACTGTGCCACAAAGGTTCATGGTTCAAATCCACGAAATGCCCTGAGGGAGAAAGATGGACCATCTCCTCTCATGCAATTTACTGCCTCTGAAAAAGCCACTGGATGACCAGCAACAAGTCAGTTCCAACTCAGTGGTACACAACATGAGAATGCCACTAACCAGTGAAGTGCCTGACACAAAGTAAACACTCCAGATGACGGCAACGATGATGACTTTGCATTACTTTCGGGGGTGGGGTCTTCAAAGCTGCCAACTATCCCTGTGAAGTCTGTGCAGTCTGAGGGGGTAAACAGGGTGGACACTTCACCCGGGCTCCTGGGGGCTTGGAGGAAGGATGCATTCTGTGCTCTTGAAACCCACCTGACCTTGCAGCTGCTACCAGTTAGTGAGAAGCCACCTGATGGGGCTGGGCGGTGGTAGGCCCCAGCACAGGGAGGTTGAGTGGTGTGCCCTGAATCTGAGGGCCCACAGTGGGGTGGGACTCACCAAGCAGCTGGACGCCCCGTGTGAGGCCGTAGACATCCACCAGGGCCCAGAGAGGGTCAGTTGTGCGGACCCCATTGAAGAAGAGCATGGCAGCGGAGTCATTGATTCGGTAGAAGACGCGGCCTTTCTTGTCCACCCAGAAAGCAATGATGTTCCCCTCGTTGGCAAACTCCTCAGGCAGAGCCTTGGCCCAGAAGCCACTCTGGGACACCAGGTCCGGGCAGGCGTATTTGGGCAGTGAGTCAGGGTGGATGCGGGATGGGTCCTTGCTGGTGAAGCCCAGCCGCAGGGCTCCACTCCAGCAGCACTGCTTCTTGATGATCTGGATGGACAGAGGGCTGGCTCAGACAACCCTGCCCATCCAGCCTCTGATCCCAATCAGTCAGACCAGGAGGGAGTAGTGAGCCCTTCTCTGAAGACCACCCCTGGGCAGACTCGCAGCCCACCCACCAGGGAGCCTTCCCACCAGCCTGGGCACAGACAATGGGTCCCCTAGCCACTCTACTCCCCTGTTCCTTTCTGGTCACATAGGGAAGGTTGAGGAAGGAGAAAAAAAAAAGTAAGAAATAAGAAAAAGAAAGCAAAAGGGATGAGAGAAGAAGAGAAGTGACAGGAGAGAGGGAAGGGAAGGGACAGGTATAGTACTGATGGGACGGAGGGGGAGGCAGTGGTGGACAGCAGGGAGGAGGCCCTACCTTCAGCCTGACTTGTTCGTAGATGAGGACCGGGCGGTTGCTGAAGGTGATGGCATTGCAGAAGCTGGCCTGCCTCTTGACGGCCTTGTGGCTGAGGTCCATGAGAATCTGGGAGCCCTTGGTGTGAGGGTGGAAGAGCAGGGGCGTGGTCGGGAGTCCCCCGCTGGACAGCACCGGCGGGCAGTGCTTCTGCTTGTGGTGACATCGGTGAGAAGTGACAGGGAAGGGGCCCCCGATGGAGTCTGCAAAGGAAGAAGCCACAGAGTCAGAGAGCTTGATGTGTCCACGAGCTGGGCCAAGGGCGCCTGAGGAAGGGCACAGGGCAAAGGTGTAAGTTGCCCACTGCCCACTGTTTCTACCATCATTGCTACCCAATACCACCGACACCTGTCATCACCATAACTTCCTGCTATTTCCACTTGACCATCTACCTTCAGTTATGAAACATCTACCATTATCCACACTCATCACCTCCCAGCATCTTCATTAACCACCATCCTTTACCCACCAACTCCTAGAATTTCCAGTTACCACCTTTACTACACCACACCACCACCACCATCTACCTTCACCTTCACCCAGCACCTACCACCACCATCTACCTGCACCCACCACCTCCCACCACCATCTACCTTCACCCACCTCCTCCCACCACCATCTACCTGTACCCAGCACCTCCCACCACCATCTACCTTCACCCACCTCCTCC